ACCTTGCACCGGTGGCAATGAGCTGCTTGCGCCTTGCCCGTAGTGTGAGTACCTCAAGCTGCTCGGACTTTGTTCCCAGTATGGATGGTCTATGCCACTTGGATTATGACCTTGTCGGGGGTGGTTGATGGGTGGAAGAACTTGCCCAAGATGATGAAATGGAGTTCCTTGCCATATTCTCGGATCATATTGGAAGTCGTTCACAGGCCTGGCCAAAGGACTGCTGCCAGTCGGTGCGGCGAAGCTTGGTTCACGAGCGACTATATTCTGACCGAAGAGCCTGAGGTGTTTCTTGGGCTGCTCGGGATGTGAAGCATCCCTTTCTCTTCCTGATGGGTATTGAAGAGTGTGCTTTGGCAGAAGTCCAGCTGCAATGACGAAGGGGAGATATACGAATCTCATATTGACTGTCGATGTAAACGGTTGGGAGGAGTAGTGCGATCTGGCCTGACAAGTGCGTATGTACTGTATTTATAGCACTTCTACGTCTAGATAGTAACGTTTGAGAATTTTGGAGCCCCGGCACAGCCTTGCAGAGGGCGTCACGAGTGTTTCCTGCACCTTTTGCCCCAGAGAGACGCCCCCTATCCACTCCTTCTCCTCGAACAGCCCATTTGTCCCCCTCTAAATGTCGGCGCCTCCGGCTTAGATGACCATTCGGCAAAGGAAGCTTGCAAAGTGCGTTGTCAATTTTGATAAAGAGCTTGGACTTTTAGGCGTTACACAATACCGACAAGGGTCCAAGCTTCCAACTTGGTCACACATCATTGTCGCTATTCTCAATTCGCAGAAGAGATATAGGAGACAGGGAGGAGATGGAGTAACATGAAAAAGGTGGTCCTGGAGCAGGCGGGCTACGAGTTGTCGTCTTCATCTTCGCTCACGTCTTCGGCTGCATGAGAGTCCTCTTGTGTGGCCTTTGCGTCCGTGACGCCAGGAGTGGCAGCAGAACTTGAGCGGTAGACGGTCGCTCCTGTGTCATTAGGAGGGATGAAGCGGTCGCTTATAATTAAGCCGACATCTGGCCACCGTGGCGGCTCTTGCTGGTCTGCTTTCTGAGACTGCAGCTTCATATTGTCATCGAAGCGCTTTTGAAAAAACCTTTTAATGTTCTGGTTGACTTTGAAAAGCGAGCCGAGTTTTTTGTTTCTGTCCACGCCCGTGTACTCCGGAGTCGTCGTCCACCACCTGTTTAGTGCGGACTGGGCCGCCTGGGCGACGTTGCAGCTTTTTTCCGCAAAAGAGGGATCAAATTGTTTGAGATCCCAGTCTCTGCTCTTGATTTCTTTTCTCAGCTGGTTAAACATCTCGCGGTTGAAAACGTATCTCCACTTCCTAGACCATTCCGGACTTGGGAGAGGCACTCGTAATCGCCCTTGATCGGTCGTTTCCACGATTCCTAAGCGCATGGTGCCGTATTGACCACTGGAAGCCCCCATAAATGCCCGTTTTCTGTCCGCTTGGTCATTTCCTTCAAACTTCCACTTATGAACTTCGGCTTCTAGCATTTCTAGGTCATCACCCTTTGCTTTATTCCCAGCTGCTGTGTAATTTGCTTTCTGCTTACTCCTTCTGTTTTCCCATGCCTTAGCATAATCCCTCTTTCCTTGGCATTCTACCATCTCGTCTTGCTGGTACTGTGGCCATGGACGAGCAGCCCAACGAGCGTCGCGCATGAAAGTAGAGCTTCCAGGAGCACGATCAGGTGAGCTTTGCGGGCTTGAAGAGGAGCTTGACTGTTCTATCGCAGCGAGGGAACCTTGCACCGGTGGCAATGAGCTGCTTGCGCCTTG